CAGCTAAAGCCTTTGAAAAACAAGGTCACCTAGTGAGGCGGCCTGGGCAGAGAAAACAGCGATGTAGGTTAATTCTGCCCACAAGACGCACAGCGCACCGGAAAACGCATACAAGCCAGGAAATAAAGCAACACAAGTGAATGATACTCATCTACATGCTACAGATTTTTAAATAGAACCGTTCTGTCTTCCTTGCATACTTTATTTTAGATGTGCTTCTCTATGCGATGCAGGCAGATCATGGCTGGTAGGAGGAGCTGGCAGGCTGCTGTACATAGCTTCCTGATAACATCACAGCACCCTGTGTCAGTACTCTTCTCGGGAGCACTCAGCCCTGATGCAAACAGTGGGAGGAGTTATGCAAATATCAAAATGCCTTGATGGGTGGGCGTTAGGGTTGCCACCTGTCCAGGATTCACCCGGACAGTTCGGGTTTTAAATGCTGTGTCCAGGCTTCATGGCAGCAGAAACCCGGACACAAGATGTCAGGCAGACAGGGGCAACCAAAATTAAGATAGGGGCTACTGACCCCCCCACTGAAAACAGTCTCAACTGCGATATTTACATATTAATGGGTGGCACTATTTACTTATGAATAAGCCACGACTCATTCTCCCCCCAAAAATGTTTGCGCGTCGCTAGAGTGTTTGGGTTTCGCTTGAAGAAAAGGTGGCAACCCTAGTGGGCGTCAGTCTGGAGGCTGTATTTGCATAGGTAACACCCACATGTGATGATGAGCCTCCGTGATTGAAAGAACAGGCAGCCAATGAATGAAAGGGGCGGGGCCAGGGATTGACTCGGAGAGAAAGCGTGAGATGATGCTGGACTTCCTCCAGCCAGGAAAGGAGGCGGAGCTCTACCTGACATGCTGCAGCTTCTAATGCACATTGTGAGGAGCTCCCAGTGTGCAATGATAGCAGAGGAAGAGGAGAGGAGCCGCTACAACTGTGCAAGACTGAAGGGAAGGACGCAGGTCAGATAGAAGACTGAAGGGAAGGACGCAGGTCAGATAGAAGACTGAAGGGAAGGACGCAGGTCAGATAGAAGACTGAAGGGAAGGACGCAGGTCAGATAGAAGACTGAAGGGAAGGACGCAGGTCAGATAGAAGACTGAAGGGAAGGACGCAGGTCAGATAGAAGACTGAAGGGAAGGACGCAGGTCAGATAGAAGACTGAAGGGAAGGACGCAGGTCAGATAGAAGACTGAAGGGAAGGACGCAGGTCAGATAGAAGACTGAAGGGAAGGACGCAGGTCAGATAGAAGACTGAAGGGAAGGACGCAGGTCAGATAGAAGACTGAAGGGAAGGACGCAGGTCAGATAGAAGACTGAAGGGAAGGACGCAGGTCAGATAGAAGACTGAAGGGAAGGACGCAGGTCAGATAGAAGACTGAAGGGAAGGACGCAGGTCAGATAGAAGACTGAAGGGAAGGACGCAGGTCAGATAGAAGACTGAAGGGAAGGACGCAGGTCAGATAGAAGACTGAAGGGAAGGACGCAGGTCAGATAGAAGACTGAAGGGAAGGACGCAGGTCAGATAGAAGACTGAAGGGAAGGACGCAGGTCAGATAGAAGACTGAAGGGAAGGACGCAGGTCAGATAGAAGACTGAAGGGAAGGACGCAGGTCAGATAGAAGACTGAAGGGAAGGACGCAGGTCAGATAGAAGACTGAAGGGAAGGACGCAGGTCAGATAGAAGACTGAAGGGAAGGACGCAGGTCAGATAGAAGACTGAAGGGAAGGACGCAGGTCAGATAGAAGACTGAAGGGAAGGACGCAGGTCAGATAGAAGACTGAAGGGAAGGACGCAGGTCAGATAGAAGACTGAAGGGAAGGACGCAGGTCAGATAGAAGACTGAAGGGAAGGACGCAGGTCAGATAGAAGACTGAAGGGAAGGACGCAGGTCAGATAGAAGACTGAAGGGAAGGACGCAGGTCAGATAGAAGACTGAAGGGAAGGACGCAGGTCAGATAGAAGACTGAAGGGAAGGACGCAGGTCAGATAGAAGACTGAAGGGAAGGACGCAGGTCAGATAGAAGACTGAAGGGAAGGACGCAGGTCAGATAGAAGACTGAAGGGAAGGACGCAGGTCAGATAGAAGACTGAAGGGAAGGACGCAGGTCAGATAGAAGACTGAAGGGAAGGACGCAGGTCAGATAGAAGACTGAAGGGAAGGACGCAGGTCAGATAGAAGACTGAAGGGAAGGACGGAGGTCAGATAGAAGACTGAAGGGGAGGACGGAGGTCAGCTGGAAGACTGAAGGGGAGGACGGAGGTCAGATTCCAAGTGTATGTAAAGCCCAAACTTTTTCTAAGTTTTAAGTCTAAGGATACAGTAGGGAAGGTTTATATCCCCCTAACAGGTTATTTGTTACAATTTGTGTTCCAATAGGGAGATTTCCCCTCTCTTCCTGTTCTGGAGACGCAGCAGGAAGCGAATTCCCCTTTTATACAGTTGTCACCAGATCTTCCATTGGAATATTTACCCTCACTTGCTGTTTTGGTGACAACTCTTTCTCACTACTTCATGTCACGGTAGAAATAAGAAGGGAGAACACAGGCAGCATCAAAAACCTGACCAATGGTCTATGCCGGGGGTGAGCAACCTGGACATTCCAGCTATCCTGAAGCTACACATTTCATCATGCCTCAGGGAGTCACGCCTGTGGCTGTCCGAGTCTTGCAATGCCTCATGGGACTTGTAGTTCCACAGTAGCTGGAGTGCCGCTGTTGCCTCCCTCTGATCCAACCCTCCCACTTGCCTGATCCTTCCAGAAACATAATCTGTATCATTTTTTTTTTTTTCAGGGAATGTTTCCAAGAACTGCACCAGCGATGGATGGTCGGCAATGTACCCCTCAGCGTACACGATCGCCTGTGGATATTCAACCAATGACACGCCGGCCGAGCAGGTATCCTCTGCTTATTTCTGTCACGTGTCATGTTCATAATATATCCCCCCCACTTCCAGGTGACATTGTAATATATATATCCCCCCACTTCCAGGTGTCATGTTCATAATATATCCCCCCCACTTCCAGGTGTCATTGTAATATATCCCCCCACTTCCAGGTGTCATTGTAAATATCCCCTCCACTTCCAGGTGCCATTGTTATATATATATATCCCCCCCACTTCCAGGTGTCAGTGTAATATATCCCCCCCACTTCCAGGTGCCATTGTAATATATCCCCCCCCATCCTCGCCGTGCCATTGTAATATATCCCCCCCTGCCAGGTGTCATTGTAATATATCCCCCCCCTGCCAGGTGTCATTGTAATATATCCCCCCCACTTCCAGGTGTCATTGTAACCAGATAATCAATGTTATCCACTTCACCTCTCAGTAATATCACAAGTCACGATGTTATGGCTGATCGGTGTTTATCCATTCCACACCAAACTGGAATGCCCCGACCGTTGGGGTCCTCGAAGCAACTGGTGGATGGTGCTAAACGTGGTGAGCAAATATGTTGCTCAATCCTCCCTCAAAAAACCGCCATTATAGACATTGGTCCATCATCATTTACAGGACAAGTGCAACTTTTTGGATCCACCAGGGATCCCTTCCTCCATGACGTGTGACTTTGCCTGATGAAGGGACCCCCGGTGGTTCTGAAACATCGCCCCTGTCTTGTATGAGATGCTGAACCAACGTTATTAAAGGAGAACTATGAGGGGGGAGGGGGGGGAGTGCTTTTCACTCACCTCATAGTTCTAGCCGACCTGTGACAATGAGACTGTCACAGGTCGGCTCAGTAGATCGGGAGGTGAGCGAACACATACCGGGTTCGCTCACCTCTCGATCCTGTCGCGGCTCTCTGCCGTGACAGGGGAGGGGCTGGATTCCCCTCTCCGATCTGCCAGCGCTGACTGGGGGAACGGACGGGGGAGGGGGCGGGTACAGCTGGCTCTGCCTCTAGATAGGCAGAGCCAGCTGTCACTCACGCAGCTGGGCGGATCCCGTCATCTACGTTGGGATCTGCTCCGGCTGCGGCGTCTCAGTATACCGCGAGCTGTAGCTCCCTATATACTGAGCTTAGGGTAACGGGAGGACGCTAGTTTGTGCTAGTTTACCCTAAGGAGAACTATGGGGAAAAGCCCTGACCCCATAGTTCTCCTTTAAAGGCCGTGTTATTGCGAGAAGATTGAGGCTTGCTGGCAACATATTGACCTCTGGGCCCTGAAGGTTTCCTGACCTTGCCCCTATATGGGTCCCACCGCCAGACCCCTAAAGTTGCTGCCAAGCTGTATACAGGATATATCCACAACGTGCATTGGTAATCTCTGTACGGAGGGAAACTTTAATGGCGGCCCGATCATTCTCTTCATTTGATATTGATCACTCATAAACTACATTCAGTTCTCTTAATTAAGAGAATGTAAAGTGCGGGTTTGGCGGCCGGTGACGCAGCTTTTGCACAAGTTGTTTATCTTAGCCGAGGCGCACTTGTTGGGATGAAACCTACATTAAAAGCGGGTTCGAGTGTTCTTAGTCATGCGTCTGCCATAATGCTGGGGTTGGAGGAGGGTGGGGGAGGGGTGGAGTGTAGGAGGCATACGCGGTTCTCTATCACATGGATCCTCAATGGATATCGATGTGATCACGGGGATGCACACGCTGATGCACACGCTGATCTCAGAATGACCTCAAAACATTTTTAAAGAAGAACTCCTGGAAATCAAAAAAATGAACCCTTGCAGTGGGGCTCGTTTTGTCTAGGGGCTCAAATAAAGCAGATATACTCCCCTGATCCTCAGTCCCACCGCTTCACTAAAGTGGAGGAAAGTGAAGTCGCTGGCCTGGCTGAGCTGTCTGGTAGGGGCACCGAGAGCACAAGACTAACAAAGTTATTGGTCAGGTAAAACAAAGATCACATATACTTAAAATTGGTGATACAATGATACCGGTTTTTCGGTACCGAGTACCGATATTTTTTTTTCCCCGGTACTCGCCGATACCCAATACCGATACCGGAAGTCCCATTAAGGAAGCCAGGAGGCGTGTAATGACTCGCCACCCGGGAAACCCGATTAGCAGGGAAGCCGTCTCCATGCTCCCTCATCACCAGGTGACAAGGGAGCATAAAGCCAGCTTTCTGGCCAATCGTGTAATGACTCGCCGCCTGGTTTCCTGATTGGCCGACTTCCCGACCAATCAGGAAGCTAGGCGTCAAGTCATTACACGCTGCCCGGCTTCCTGATATCGGAAGTTCGTGTATCGGGCTAGGCATTGGAGCATTTGGGCGAGTACGAGTACCCTGCCAAATACTCACTATCGGCACCAATACTAGTATCGGTATCAGTGCATCCCTACTTAAAATCAACTTCCTGGAGTTCAACTTTAAATGGTTCCCTTGTTTTGGGGGAACCTGTCAGTAGAGGAATATGGGAGCAGCTTTTGCTGGCTGGTTGTTAAAGGTTAAAGACCCGGGGGCTAACATTTCCAACCTTGCTTTGCTCCTTAAATAAGTCCCCTCCTTGGAACCAGCATGCAACCAGTGAAGTTGGAACCCCCAATTTGTGTACTGGTTCCAGCTTACCGACTAAGTCGTAAAAACAAGGAGGAATGTAACCGCCATGGAGCATGCACCTCTACAGTGAACAAGTCAGCAGTGGCCAGTCATATGTGTACTCTGACAGACACCCTTTAACTTTTCACACGTGTGTGATTGTCTGTGATCTTCTTCTCTCAGCAGACTGTTTTTTATGGAACGATAAAGACGGGTTACACGATCGGACACAGTGTGTCTCTGACCTCCCTCACTGCGGCCATGATCATCCTCTGTCTCTTCAGGTAGGGCTTCACAAAGTGCAACAGTGTCATGATTATATTATATATGTGGTGTATATGTGGCGTCAAGTGTAGCTTCATGCAATTGTCATACCTCCTGAGACCCAGGCTGTGCGGACAGTATGGCATCTTTCTGACTCGTCAGGATCCACAGGCAGTGTCAACTCACCAAAAGAGACTTTGAAAACCAGTATAGTTTATTTCAGGCTTGGAAAGTTAGAAGGATGTTTTCTGAGCATTGTTTGCAGTGGTGAAAAAGCTCTTCATATAATAACCTTTTAACTTTTCAAAGTATATATAACCCAAAAAACAATTAAAGAAGCTGCTATGATAGCACAGGTAGACTATGAGAAACAATACAGTATATGTTCCAGGGGCGTCCCTTCAATGTTTGCTGCCTGAG